GTGAAAACCTGTCTACTGTGAGAGGAACCTCATGCTGGAGCAGGGGAAGAGTGTAAGGAGTCCTCCTCCTGAGGAGGGAGTGGCAGAGACAGCGTTTGATGATCTGACCACAGCCCCCATTCCCCACCCACCTGCGTCGCTCAAGGGGAGGAGGGAGAGAATTCAGGAGTGAAGTTGAGCCCGGGAAGAAGGGAGGGGTGGGGGGAAGGTGTTTTAAGATTTGGGTTTATTTTTTATTATCCTACTCTGACTTGATTGGTGGTAAATTAAACTAATTTCCCGAAGTTCAATCTGTTTTGCCTGTGACGGTAATTGGTGAGTGATCTCTCCCAGCCCTTATCCCGACCACAAGCTTTTTGTCATGTTTTTTTTCTCCCCTGTCCAGTTGAGGAGGGGGAGTGACAGAGCGGCTTTGATGGGCACCTGGTGTCCAGCCAGGCTAAACCATGACTGGATTTTTTGTTGTTGTTGTTTTGTGGGTTTTTTTAAGAATTTTGAGTTTTCACAGTGATGTAAGTTTTCAATTTGCTAACTCAGCGCAGCTCTTTTGGGTGGAGCAGATGTGGCCTCATCTCAAGCAATGTGTTTTTCTGACTGGTTGCAATTCCAAGAGACGTTTGGCAAAATATGCTTGCTACTTCTAGAGATGTTTCACAAAATGAGGTAGCTGTGATTTTTTTTTTTGAAAACGTGGCTGTAAATTTTTTAAAGACATAAGACTGATTTTCAATTACAATGTGGTCAGAAGATGATTAAAACGTGAAAAAAATTTCAGCAAAACAGGCACCACATTCTGTTATCTCCAAAAAAGAGTAAATCTGATTTTAAAATGACTAAGCATATTCCAGCGTGTAGGTGTTTCTTGGCGAGCTGCTGCTAGGCTTATGTTCTCGAGCATCAATACTGAGCAAGTGTTTTCCAGCCAAATCTACAAGTTAAATGCCAATATAATGTGTGTAAACAATCTAAACAGACCTCTGTGATTACTTTTGTGCATTCACAAGACTGTTAGCCTCATGAAAATTTATACTGCTTAATATTCCTGTCATTTTAAGGTGAGTTAAAAGTTGATTTGCATTAATACAAGTGCTAGATGTCAGGGCTGCAGTATTACGAAATGGTTGCAGCATATTGTTATCATGCTTTTGGGCATGTGCAGCGGTGCCTCAGTGCCTTTCTTTATATAGTATTTTATTCTTGTGTTTAAGTTTTCTTCATATATTACTGCAGAACTTGGCTGGCTTTTTGCTAAAACATTGGTTACTCCAGGCAATTTGATCTTACCACAAAGTTATCTTCCTTTGAGTTCTTTACTATCTTGTATTATTTTGTGCTCTGAAATGTCAGTGCTACTAAACCTGAGACTTTAGGGTTTGATTTGCTTTTTGGTTTGATGATAATTTCATTTCTTCCTGAATAAGATTATTCAGAAAGAAAAACAAACACACAAACAAGCCACCAAACTTCACTTGTGGAGCATTGCTAGTAAAGCAGGTGTGCCCTGCTTCATCATGCTGGAAGATGAGGTTTTTCACGCTGTGCTGTGGAGGCTGACTGAGAACGAGCACGGCATGGCGCAGGTGATTCCCTCCCCAGCCTCTACTCATAGTGCGTGATCTCACATCTGTGAGATGGGAGGGTGCAGATGATGTGACACAGTCCAGCTGTGTGCAGGAGCAGGTTGTTCAGAGCGCTTCTGTGGAGATATTCCGGCTGGACGCAGTCCTGGACAGCCTGTTCTTGCTGACCCTGGTTGAGCCAGGGAGTTTGGGATAGATCTCACAGGGTCCTTTCCAACCACACTGACTCTGTGACTCCGTAACACTGAGACTTCCATGTTAGTGTGGTTACTAACAATTGAGGGACAGCGGATTGCTTAGAAGTGTTTGGACATTCTTGTGAAATATGGCCCAAACTTCGCTGCCCTGACCTGTAGAGTGGGGCTGATGGCAGCACCAGGCTCTGATGCCTGCATGGTGCCATTGCTGAGCGCAGATGTACAAACTCGGAGTGCATTGAGCAAGGAGAAGTTTTTGGAAGTTAAAATGTGTTTCCTGCTTTCTTTCCACTGTATAGTCTTTCCTTTAAAAGCTGTTTCTAGGATGAGTACTTTATACTTCTTTATTTAACGGTAATCTTTCTTTAAATAGCTGTGTTATAATTTTCTTATGTAAACTTTCCAAAGCAGGGGATGGGCCTTTAATGTAGTGGTGTGTGTCAGGTTCTACAGCCTGCAGGCATTAGATGAGGCCCTCCAGTTCCTTGACTATTTAGATAAGAGCACCCTACTGCTAGAGTGGCTCCAGATGCCTGCAGTTAGTTCCTCTGTAGAATTAACACTCATTACAGTGATTTCTGTTTTGTGGTGTGGTGCTAAGGGAAGCTGCTAAATAAAGTTGAAAGTAGATTTGTGCATGCAATACAGTTTGTTGAAGGTTAAAATTATGGAGACCTTTTGATATTTAGACATTATTGTTATTTGAAGTTGGCCTGTCACTTTGACAAGTGACAAGGTGTGATCAAAAGGAACATACGTGAAAAGTGAGGATAAAAAGTGTACTGAGTAAAGTAAAAATGAGGAAAAAATGTACTGATATTCAGTTGGTCAAACATTCCCCTGCCAGTCCTCAAACTAGTTGAAATAATGGTACCTCACTGCTAC